CCATACCTACCTTGAGATACATATACCCATTTAAACACGTTCTTAGCTATACACACCACTCAGAGGCAAAACTATCTCCAGTTACCTGTTAACACATTTCACATTTGGTAGTCAAGTTAGACATAACATATAAGAGTTGCACTTTGCTTCCCCAAAAAAAAAAAAAAAAAAAAAAATTAAATTAAATTGCTCATCAAAATTTTGTAGTCCACAATGGTTATACTTTTCATACAGGTAAGAATTGGATTGCAAAAATAATAAAGGCTAAGAATAATTCGTAGGAAAAAGGAATGTTTTACGAAAAAAAAATTCTATTTACAGGCATCCCAACAACTGAGACTCTGACCACTGCAACCATTAAAAAAAAATTCTATGTAAACACAATCTCCTTCTAAAACATTTATCTAAAAATGCCTTCTAAAAAATGCATTACATCTTACTGTAACCAAAGACAAGCTTCCGCCATTTTCTTTTAACCATTCAGTTGATGATCAAGGTAAATACAGTAAATCGTGAAAATAAAAATTCATCTGTGCAAAAATCTAGGATGGCCTGTGGAAAACAATAAAAATTCTGTACTTGACAGCCTCTATTAGTTTGCCAATAGTAGAAAGTGATAAATTATTCACATCAGTAGTTACTACTTACTAATCTTGTAATGTGCCTTCGATACCTCTCTCTGTATCATCTTCCAGGTATCTCTTAAATTTTTTAAGAAAAAGTTTCCAAGGGCAGCTATATTGACCCACCATTTGCTACTTTGCCCAACCTATGATTCACTGACATTGTTAGCTGCCATATTCACAGCATATTCATCACTCAATGACATACTTCTGACATGATCAAGAAGCCCAGTAAGTTCTCTATGGACATAACTAAAACGTTCTCTGGATATCAATGATTCTGTCAACAGAGATGCAGCAAGGGAATGAAAGGCCTCAGCACATTGATCACTGCTACCTAGAGCATGCTGATCTTCCATAGGAACTAATGAGCTCTCCAGTCGCCAACGAAGGAGAAGATATTTTTCCGGGAGCTGAAAGCAGTTCTTCACTACAAACACTCGAAGAGAATGCCTGCACAATATTCCTGAATGTTCAAATTCCTTACATGAACAATGAATTTGCTCATCCTCAGGTATCCAAATCACAAGATACTCGCCGTCCATTTTCTTGTAGTGTCGCACAAGATATGAGCCATTATCCATTTCAGTTGTTGCATACTGCAAGGACAGCACAATTTCATGTTGTAATACGCGGAAGGCATATGGTGTAAGAATGCTTCGTGCATGCTCTTCAATAGGCATGCAGGTTTTGATATGCATATACTGCATTCCTTCTCTGGTTAAATTTCCAAAGTTGGCAGCAGTACCAACCTGCAAATATTGCAAACAAATTCAGGACATAGATCAAAAACAGTAAATATTGGACAAAAATACCTGACATGTGAGCCAAATACCTGCTCAAAGAAAATTTGCAAACATGTTTGTCCACTCAAGATTCTTTTCAAGAAAGTATCCAAAGATTGAGAAAACTCTGCTGTCATTGCACGAGCCAGAAAGTAACCTCTAATATAGGAAAATGGCCAGGATGCTCGATATGAGAAGAGTAAAGCTATGTGTTTATCTGAAGCAAGTCCAAAACGAGCAACCAAAAGATTCCACTGGTGTTCAAAATCTTCTACATTCTCCAGGTGACACAAAATATTAAACTCAGCTTTAAATTCTTCAAACTGTGATCCAAGAGGCAGAGAGAACCAACTGGATAATTTGGACAGGATATGCCATATACAAATAACATGTTTAGTATTTGGCAATTCCCTTGCTATACCATCCCGCAGCCCTGAATCTATATCTGTTAGAATTGTCTGTGGACGTCTTCCTCTCATAAGGCGGACAAAAGTCTGTTCAAAAGAAGAAAATCATAAAAAGGCAGATGAAGATTGATGCGACTGTATCACAAGAATTTGCGTCCACAAACCTGTAACGCCCATGCAAATGAATGAGAACTTTCATCTTGCAGCAATACACACCCCAACAAAATAGCGTTACCATGATTATCCATGCCAAACCAAACTCCTAGGAGCAATCCATAGGTGATAGAACGATAAGTGGAGTCAAATGTAACCACATCGCCAAACAGTGTATAAGCACGAACAGAATCTCCATATGACCAAGCAATATTTTCAACTTTATCATTTTCATCAGTTGTATAGTCATAAACGAAATCCACATCCCTCTGTGCCATAGCCTTACAGGCCTCAAGAAGTTCCAGTAAATCATTTTCCCTTTTCTCCGTAAGCAATGCATCATTTTCCTGAACGGTCTTCTTACAAGTCCGAACAAAGTTTCTCACATCCTTCTCTATAAAAGGCAACTGGCCAGGTTGAACTCCCTTTTCTAGTTCCAACACCTTAACTATCCGATTCACAGGAAACCCAGCTTTGGAGAGTAAGAGAATCCTTTCTTGATCAGCCTCCTGTATCTTCCGATATGCAGGAAGCAAACGCACTTGGTCATCTTCCAATAATTCATGGTTGTGAACATTACTAAATTGTGAAATGTACCACTGAGTGACACCATCAACAATTTCCTTCGTCAAATACAGCTTTGCATCGCATCCACATCGTACTGACTTTCGATCCCTGGGATGCTCCACATTTGCCTTTTTTCTCGGCTGATTAAATCCAGAACGATAACAAACAAAGTCTCTCCGGTAGATACCTAAATTTTGGCTTTCAGTTGAGCGTGCTTTTCTGATTGAAAATCCATTCTTCCTTGCGAAATTACTGTAGTATTCAAAAGCCTCATCATCACTTTTGAATATCTGACCCACATAAGGAGTGAAGGCAGCTTCCTGAAATGACGTGGATGACAGTGCCTCTGTCTTTACTTGCTGAGAACTTGCTGATGTCTGATCGTCTCCTTCGTACTTAATGTAACACTTCCAATCTCCACATGGACACTGCTGACGTCGAATCCAGATGTTAGTGGATGGTTTTGTTGCCATTTCTTTGGGAAACTGAAAAATGTATTCCTAGTTTCAAACCCTCATGCTGCACAAATACCATGAACAGAAAAGGTGTTATGATTCAGAATCTTAGAATCATTTTCTGAAACAACAGTAAGATATGGTTCCACTACAGCATAAGTAATTTTCCTAATTTCATTATGTACCCTTTGAAACAAAAACCACATCAAACATAAGCCTTTCTTTAATTCTCTTCTTCTGTTATTTTTCCGTTCTAAAAAATAAAAAAGGGACTTTCAACAATTAACAGATGAAACCTAAAATGAATCTAAGAAAACTCATTACTTGCAGTTGAATTGCAAATTTGCACTCAACTAGTCCCAATACAAAGGCCTTGTAAGCAAACTAATCATTGTATTGGATAACCAAAACAAATAATACAACATTCAAAATGTGGCCTAACGTTCTTCTCATTACCATAAAAAGCTTACATTAGCAATAATAATACATCAAGAAAAAACTTTGACCAAAATAAGCTTTTTTTCCAGAAGCAAATTTATGTCGAGTAAAACCCAAAAAGGGAATAGAAACAAAGTTAAAAAAACAAACAAACATACACACAGAAACCCAATTCAATTTAAAAAAAAAAAATTAATGACAAAAACTAAAACAAAAATCTAAATAAAACCAAATTTAATAAATAGCTTGACATGAAGAGAACCAAATGAACCAATAGCAAAACAAATTTAATGAAGAATAATATTTTTAACTCAGAAATGACGACTGATCATGATTACAAAGCAAGAAACTGATCACAAAGGGAAAAACCAAATAAAAACAAAATAGACCCAGTTCATATCACGCACGGTGAATTAAGAAAAAACAAATTAACAAAGCAAACCTGCGAAACAAATACAAATTAACAAAGCAAAAACTGATCACAAAGTGAAAAACCAAGTAACAGAAAAAACCCAATTGATATCAAGCACTGAGAATTACCAAAATGAATTTAAAAAGAAAAACTTAAAACAGAAATAAAAATTGAAAAATGACGCACCAGCAAAATTACTGCAAAAATTCCCGTTGAAAGCCCTTCCAATTTCTCAGTTTTTGACAATGTAGTGCAGCAAAAACCACCTACAAGTTATTATATTCTGTTTCAAGTTATAAAGTGAAAAAGATGGATTATGAATTATGAAATATGTTAATATAAAAACCAAAACTTTGTTGTACGAAATGAAAAAAATAATACTAAAAATAAGTTGATTAAATTTGTTATTGCGTACCAGGAAGAGAAACCCTTTTTTGTTTTCTCACATGATTTTCATTTTTCTTTCTCTTCAGTGCTTTGGGTTCTTCAATCCTCATCGTCGTCTTTGAAAAATTTTCACTTACAATAAGTCAATGAAAGGTCCAGTTTAGTGGGTTATGGGCCAAGTCCAGTGTAGTACTGATTACTGTTGGCTCAGATCCAGGTCCAACAACGTAGTTCTGATTCTGCCATATCACTATGTACACGTCATTTCATGGTTGATGATGTGGCGAGAATTAAACGTATATGTTTAGTAATGGTTTGTTTCTAATTGAATATGAAGATCAAATGGGCTACAATTAGTTGTAAATGTTAATTCTAATTGATCCATTTCATTAAGTTGATATAAATTCCAAGCTATTCCAGAGCTTGGAGAGGATAATAACTCAATCAGTCCCTTCATTTCCAGAAATGATTTATACAAATGTGAGAACCTCAAGGAATTTTCTGTACAAAAGGGTCAAAAATCGTCTACTTTAACTCTTGCATGAAACCTCATATAACAATGGACAGGGGATTGGGGAAGAATGAATCCATGGCCATAACTGAGACTTCTCTCATTACCCAGATCATTGTATGTGTTAAAAAATGTTGAAGATGTTTCATCATTTCTCCCCCGAGTGAAGAATCCCACGTTAAACCTACTCTTGAACACTCAATTACCAGTAATCTCCGCATGAACATTTACCATTGTTAAAATGATGAAACCTGTTGGAATCTCGCAGTACTATTTGCCGACCGACAATCTTTGATATAAATTTAAAAGCAGAGTGGCAATCACCACAAACGCGAAGATTTTTCATTATCCGAATAGGTAATCCTGAACTCCGAGTTAGAACAAATGCAACTGCAATTTTCTCACTGTGATAGCTCAGGACTTCTTCCTTACTCTCTGGGTCTAGATCAAACAGTGCAAATTTTGTCTGGGGCACATATCCAGCATCCCTCATCTTCTGGTTAAGTTCCATGAGTTTTTCATAGATCAAGTCTTTCTCAGGGTGTGATTTGTCACCAGCCACGAAAACATGGACACCATCCTTCATGGTGACCCAACTGCAACCAGCTTCTTTTTTAACTTCAGCTTCCTTCATTGCCTTTCTAGCCTTTGCCACATCTTCCCATTTCCCCCCAGAAGCATACATGTTAGCTAAGAGTACATAGTTCACGGCATTTTGAGGTTCCATCTCAAATAGCATATTTGCAGCCTTCCTACCTAACTCTGTGTTGCGACCACTTGCACGGCAGCAAGCCCCTAATACCGTCCTCCAAATAAGAATATTAGGCTTGATAGGCATCTTTTTGACAAAGTCTTCTATCTTATCAAGTTCACCTGCCCGCCCAAGGAGATCCACCATACATGAAAAGTGTTCCATTCGAGAAGCCAGTCCATATACTTGACTCATGGATTTGAAATGTTTAAATCCTTCATCAACCAACCCTGCATGGCTACAAGCTGATAAGACTCCAACAAAAGTTACATGATCTGGTAAGGGACCATTTAACTTCATTTGTGAAAAAAGGCTTAAAGCTTTGTCTCCATGTCCATGACGTGCATAACCCGATATCATTGAATTCCAAGAATATACATTCCTTGCAGGCATCATATCAAAAAACCTTGAAGCATAATCTATTCTTCCACATTTGGAGTACATGTCAATTATTGCACTCCCAACTACGACATCAGATTCTAAACATGCTCTTATGGAACAAGCATGGACTTCCATGCCTCGCTCTAACGTCGCAACAGAGGCACAAGCACTGAGAACAGTGGCAAAGGTGAAATGATCCAATCTCTGTCCTCTCTGCATCATAAACCAGACTAGATCCATGGCCTTTGGCAAGAGTTCATTATGTATGTACCCAGAAATCATTGAATTCCAACTGACGTCATCCTTTCTCTCAGACATTCTAGAAAAAATTTTCTCACATTCATCTGTCTCTCCGCACTTGCCATAGCATGCCAAAAGTGCATTATCAATTGTAGTGTCATCTACAACATGATATTTAATCACTTGAGCATGTATTTGGTGGCCCAGTTCGCCAAGGAAAAGAGAGGATGCTGCTGCAAGAATACTTATGAAGGTTACTCTGTTAAGAGTGTACCCAGCACGCATCATGCCCAAGTAATATTTTACAGCTTCAGAAACTGATCCATCTGAATTAGCTAATGCCCCAATCACAGAATTCCATGAAACTCGATCGTACTCAGGCATCAAAGAGAAAAGTTTCAAGCATTCAGTGAGACATCTAGTATCGCCATACATAGAAAGAAGAGCATTTGAAACTGAAACATCCAAATCAAGTCCTAATTTGAGCCCTTCACCATGTATTTGCCGTCCCAGCATGATCCAACCCAAGCTTGCACACGAACTCAAAGAGCTTATCAGTGTGAAATTTGAAGGCATCAATCCATCTCCTCTCATTGCATAGAAGCTCATGACTGCATCTTCAAAACGCTCATTTTGGTCGAGACCGGATATCATGGTATTCCATGAGACAGAATCTTTTTCATCCATGAGTGCAAACACTGATTTAGAATCCTCAATAGCACCACATTTTGCATACATATTAACAAGTCCATTTCCAACTGCGACCTTGTTGCCAAATAAACCACTTCTGATTGTATGTCCATGAAACTCTTTACCTTTTCTTCTCCCTTGCTCTAACACAGAAAATTCAGCAAAAGCACTTAATAAAATCACATTGGAATCAATATTTAAATGAACTAAGTTTCTCATCTCCATAAAAACCTCAGTTGCTTCTTCTCCACGTTTCTGCCTTACTAATCCAACCATCAAGCCATTCATGGAGACCACGTTCCTCTGACTCATCTGCTCAAAAATCTTCCTAGCATAATAAAAAAACCCAACCCTTGCAAACCCACTCACCAAAGCACTTCCCACATACAAATCTGACAAAAGACCCGATTTCTTAACCCTAGTCAGCATCTGCTCAAGCAAACAAGAACCAAAATCAACAGAAGAATAAGCAGCAGTTATTAAGCTTCCAAATGTATACTCGTTAGGTCTAAAGCCATACCCCAAACCCTCTCTTTGCATGCTTGAAAAAAGATCAAAAGCAGAAACTGCATCTCCTCTTTGTGAATAAACTGAAATTATAGAATTCCATGATATCAAATTCCTAGTATCTATCTCCTCAAAAACACGACGAGCACAATCACTTGACCCCATACAACTCCCGTACATCGATATCAACACATTAAACACAACAACATCAAATGCAAACTTAGATTTCAAAACAAAAGCATGAATTTGCGTCCCAAATTTAAGCCCACTTGGTCCAGACTCCTGACAGGCTCTAAGAGTACTCCCAAGAGCGTAATGATTTGGCAAAAACCCTGCAAAAACCATATCTTTAAACACCTTACATGCCTCATTAAACATCCCATTTTGTGTATACCCTGAAACCAAGCAAGCCCAAGAAACCGAGTTCTTATCCGGCATTTCATCAAACAGCTTACTTGCAGACACCAAATCACGAACTCTGACATAAACATTAACAAGGGTATTGCATAAAAACACATCATAAGCAAACCCATGTTTTAAAATCTGCAAATGAAAGAGTTTAGCATCTTTTAAGCAATTAGAATCCCTATAAGTACTAACCAAATATTTACATAAATCCACACTCGAATGCGAAAAAGATGATACAAAGTGTGGTGTATTTGATACTGATTGCGATGTTTTGTGCTGATGAGTTAAGATTTCTGATGGGATTGGAGAGTTTGTGATATGGGGTTTTGGGTTTTGGAGACTGAAGAGAAGAGGGTTGCTTGTGTTTTGTGTTGTAGAAGGTGAGACAGTGAACGTTGTAAGAGTACGCTTATGCTTGTTTGTGCATAAGAAAAAGCGTAACATGGTGCAATTGAGACTCGAAAGTGAACTGGGAGGTTCTGCTCATGCCTTTTGGCGCCTGGTAGTGTTTCAAAATGGAGCGTGTCAGTTATTCTAGTTACGGCTTTTGATTTTAAATGATTTGATTATAGTTTTACACTCACCCAAATCCAAATCCAAATCCAAATACAAATTCAATATTTATTATTTAATTTTCCTACAAATTTTATTATCAATACATTCTATTTACAAATAGGCAAATAAATTAATAATTTAGATATGAATCAAAGCAAATAAAATTTTATCAGGTTCTGCAATCTGCATGTCACATATATGTCAACTTAATAGATAGTGAAACCATGTTATATATGGTAATATATTAGATGATATAAACCACATAGAAGTGCATTCAGATTAAGAATTGAATTAATGTAGATTTACAACATCAATATACAGAAAATTTACACCCGACCAGCTCATTTATTTTCAGAAACTGTACCCTCTCAATGGCCGAAAAACATTTCTTAGTAAGATTTCGTTTGATCATCAAATATGTATCACTCTACTGTCCGCTATGTTGAAACACTTCCAGGGAGAGTTGACGTTACGAAGAGAATAGGTTACAAAAGAGAGACGCAAAATGCTCAACAAGCTGTATATTTTCTCAATGAGGAATAACTGGAAAATTGATGTTACAGAAGAGTGAAGATTCTCTCTGGGTTGGACGTTGTCAAAGATTTTTCAACTGAACTTATTCTATTTCTTATTTCCAATAGACTCTGGAAAGGACTTGACACCCGACTTACAAACTACACATTGATGACTCACTTTGCCTAGCTGAGCAGCACAATCTCCAGCACCATCCAGTCTTGGAACAATAGCTGATTCAAACCTGAGCAATTATAGTGATTCGCTAAGCTGACGTGCCAAATTCTTGACTTCATGTATGACTTTAAAAATTGTTTTGGCTCTTCAAGTTCTCTAGGTTATTGAGTTCTGTCAACATCAGTTTTGTTAGCCAAAGGAAATTCAACGAGAATAATGAAGGTTGATCTTTCTGCCTCTCTAACATACTGTACAGTGCCATTCATTATTTTAACAAGCTTCTGGCAGATGTATAGGCCAAGACCTTCCCTCGAGACATTCCGGCTGTGGTAAAACATCTCATGAATTAACTTCTCTGGGATTCCAGGCGCCGGATGGGTGATCCTGTCACAATAACCACAGTCTGATTCACTAACATGTAACTGCTCTATTGAATTCAGTTCATATGACAGACAATGTTCACAGCAGAAAAAGACTGAAAATTTGAAAATATCCCTGACAGTTTTCATGACACTGAATCGCATGTAAAACCAATTATAATTAACAGGTTCCAATTTTTGAAAGGCTTATATAGATTTAAAAAAATAAATAAATAAATAACTGATGGCAGGTAAGGCCAAATTTGCTTGAGAATAGCAAAAAGCTACAGCAAAGTGATGAGTTCAAATGATAATTACCGAAATTCAAGATGAACAATGTGTATATTTCTCCCTATACGTTCCTTTCGTGGAACTACACTGAATGCAATTGACGATCCGTCAAATGCAGGGGTGAAGACGAGTGCATTAGACAAAAAATCTGAAAGGACTTGCTGAAGCCTCAATTTGTCCCCATACAAGTTCATGGATGACACTTCAGCAGGTAAATCACGGACAATTTGCACTTGGTGTTCTTGGCTCGGTATCATGACTTGTGTCATGACCACTTCAAGAGCTTCACCAAGGTTAAATTCACTGGATTTCATTTCCATATAGCTGCAAATGAGAGACACATTGAGCAGAAGTTAGAAACACAGCAGGGCTTAAGACATAAACAAAGCATCAAAATGTAAATGCTACTAAAGCTCACTGAGAGAACAAGTATCCACAATGACGAAGCTGAATCACAGGATATTAAAAACCATATCATAATAGTATATGATAACTTCGAAGAGACGATTAAGAATGACAAAGAATCCATAATCGGAATTGTAAACAAACTAATAGAATAAAAGAGCAGATGGCAAACATGTGCTCAGGAAGCATCAACTAACAAATTGTAAAAAATAGCTCCACATGGATTAATCCTATTCACATCATCCTTTTTTCAACTGTTTCCTCAACATTTCCTACAACTCCACATACCCTCCAAGGTCTATTACACATATAGCAATTCTAGTTCTACTATGACAAAACAGTATGACTTGACAATATTTATCATATGTCTGAGACAATCCACATATCTTCTTTTACGCACCATACCCCACTCTCACCCCTTTCCTACGTGAGCCATTGCTAATACCTAAGGGACATTTCTATATTAATATTTTACAAATAACCACATTACATAGTACGTTAAATTTGAAGTTTCTTGATGCTTCTTCTCATGTTTTGCATCTTCTGTGACTGTTTCAGGCAATTTACCTCATTTTTGGATGCTTGCGTAATTGCAATACACATGCACAAGCACACAAAAAAACCAAATTTTTTTGCATATGCTTGCACATGAGCCTCTCTAGAGAAGTTATTCATACGAAACTTAGTTATTGATTGTGCAATCAGCTAGATTAATTAAAAAACATAAGCATACATTTTAATAATTAAATATAGAAGTCATACCATTCCTCAATACTTTTAATGTCAGTGTCCTCAACTATGTTGGTTAACTGTTCCTGACACAACACATTTGTCCTCAGAAGCTGCATCTGTTCTTTGCTTAAATTAGAAGAATCTATTAGATTCTGAACAAAAACTATCCCACTCAGAGGCTTTCTAATTTCCTGACGAATATATGCCAGCCTATTGAGGCTATTGGCTGCAGCCTGTTCTGATATCCTCTGGACCTGCAGTGCATATTGAAGTTCTGGACTAGCCACATGTAAAAAGCACAAAACCCCAGTAATCTTTCCCTCTGCATTAGTTCTTTTGTTCGCAGACAGAAATGCTTCAACATATTTACCCTGCTGATCAAAAAACCCAAATAACAATTTATCTGCCTCCTGGCCTGCGATTACCCTATTCATTATTATCTTGATCTTGGTCAAGGTGTCATGATTTTTTACCCGACAACCAAAATTGGTGACTGTAAAAACTTCCCCTAGAAGCATCCGTTCAGTTGCTTCTTCCCTCTTCAAACCAGATAATTTTTCCATTGCATCATTCCACTCCAAGCACCGACCATGCTCATCAGTCATAAAAATTGGAGGAATAAGAGCGGATGGGCTCCGCATAATTCCAACATAATCACCTTGCATATGGGTATATTTGTCCATAACCAACTTTTGCCCTGTAACATCTTGCCCAACAAAGCAAATACCAACAACATTTTTCTTTGTATCTTGGCTACAACAAGCATTGACTACCAAAATGACTGGACCACTGTTTTCCTGAGGGCCAAATGTCTTAAGCTTAATTTCTACATTTCTTTCTTCTCTACCTGGCATTTTTACATCAACATAGAATTATATGGATATACGATTTGAAAAGATTAGTGAGTATATAGGCTAACACAAGAAATAAGGAATAAAATTAGTGAGTATATAGGCTAACACAAGAAATAAGGAATAAAATTCTAGCAAAAAGCTAAACTAGAAATAGTGAAATACTCAGAATAGTGGGCAAGTTTGATTAAATACATATAATAATCAGCCTTCACTCGGTTGACCAATGTTGACAGTGGATATATACAGAGTATAAAATATATGGCAAGTTACAAAAGCATAGATGTACAACTGTATAATTCCATTTTGTTAAAATGATATGATGAGACAGACCTAACTGGAAGGTAGAAGCTTCCTGTAATTCACACAACTACTCGAGTTGTATGCATTAGACAAACTGAATTTGAATTAAGGCAATAGAATGACTAGGAACCAGCACCTGAACCAAACACAAGCACTCAGTTAGCCTACTTCAATTTGAACAAGTTCATTGTTGAGAAGCATGATAATGGCAAACAATTTATGCCCGGCGATCATAGAATGCAGAACCCTAGTTTATTTACATATAGGTATGCTTTTTTTTAGAGGACTCTATACTTAACCATGTTGACAAACACCCACCAACAAAAATGGCAGTGACAAACATGTGAAATATGAAAAATCTAAGTACACACATCGATACGGGTAAACCAAAGTAACAGAATTTTTCACATGTACTAGTATGACCAATTTGTACATGCCTAGATCTGTTAGTAAAAGCATAAAGGTCTTCATGATACCATATATGTAACTAATAAGCTATTAAAGAAGAAAAATCAAAGTGATACCTAGCAAAGCTAAAGATACCATGTTCTTAACCACGTCAATTGAATCACCATCAACAAGATCAATCAAAGGTGTGCCAATGGCTTGCTCAACAGTTAGACCAGTTAGTTCGACTGCTTTGGAATTCCACCCGTTTACATTACCGGATGGATCAACAGCAAAGATGGGGACAGCAGCTGTCTCAATTAAGCGAACCATTTCTCTGGTGATGATTTGCAGCTCATCCATCCTCTTAATCCTATCATCAACAGATGGAACATTCACAATCATTTTGGAATTCTCCACAACTTCTTGCAAAGATCCTCTCAATATCAGCTGTAGGGAATGTATGGCATCCATCTCCACATCTGCCCAAGGTAAACTCCGTTGCTTAACAACTTCCATGAAAGCCTTGAATGATGATCTGGGGTGCATTTTTCTTCCATCATCCTTGTCACCTGGATCATGTTTTGCACCACCCCACTTAATCTCTTTTGCTGTGTGAGACCGAAACCAGAAAAGGAAATCTCTGGAAGTAATCTTAACAGCAGCCATACCACAAACTGCATCACCAAGAACTGAAGCACCTGGGTAACCAGCCTCCATAAGGCTATCAGTACTTAACCCTGTACTCCCTCTGTGGTACTCAAGAAGCCATTCAGCAAGATCTTTAATTTGTGCCTCCGTAGGGGTTACCCCAAGCAGCCAAAGTTTCTTTCCGTAGTAAAGTGCAGCACCATCACACTTAACAAGATCC